CTCCAAGCTGTGTGGGTTATTGATCTGCTGGAGGGCAGGGAGGCTCTGCAGAGGGATCTGGGCAGGCTGGATCATGGCTGAGGCCAATGGTGTGAGGTTCAACAAGACCCAGTGCTGGGTCCTGCCCTTGGGTCACAACAACCCCAGGCAGTGCCACAGGCTAGGACAGAGTGGCTGGAAAGGACCTGGGGGTGCTGGTGACAGTGACTGACCATGAGCCAGGGTGTGCCCAGGTGGCCAAGAAGGCCAATGGCATCCTGGGCTGGATCAGCAATAGTGTGGCCAGCAGGAGCAGGGCAGGGGTGGTCCCCCTGTCCTGGGCACTGCTGAGGCCACAGCTCAAATCCTGTGTCCAGTTTTGGGCCCCTGACTTCAGGAAGCTCGTTCTGGTGCTGGAATGAGTCCAGAGAAGGGCAAAGGAGCTGGGGAAGCATCTGGAGTACAAGTCCTGTGAGGAGCAACTGAGAGAGCTGGGGGTGTTTAGCTTGGAGAAGGGGAGACTCAGAGACTTTATCATTCTCTACAACTGCCTGAAAGGAGACTGTAGGTGGGGGTTGGTCTCTTCACCCAAATAACAAGCAAGAAGACCAGAGGAAATGGTCTTAAGTTGCACCAGTTTTAGGTTAGTTAGTAGAAAAAATTCTTCACAGAGAGGGTTGTCAAGCACTGGAACAGTCTGCCCAGGGAGTGGTGTAGTCACTATCCTTAGGGGTATTTGAGAGACGTGTAGATGTGGTACTTGGAGATCTGGCTCAGTGGTGGAGTTGGCAGTGCTGGGTTAACTGTTGAACTCAATGATCTTAACAGTCTTCTCCAAGCTGAATTATTCTACAGTCGTGTGACGGATTCTGTGTTCTAGATGGATTCTGTATTCTAATTTGTCTTGCTTTGCCTTTCTGTAGAAGTTGGAATAATTTCTGTATGTAGTTAAAAAGGAGTTTAATTATCTGTTGGTAATGAATTGTACAATTTGTCAAGAAGGTGGTTTGAAAAAATTAATCCAGCTCAAGCAAACACAGCACAGAATCACTCAGTCAATAATTGCTTGGGGCAGGTCACCACTCAAAATATTTGTGTCATTCCACTTCTTTGCTTCTGTCTGCCTGAAGTCTCCGCTTGCAGAGTAATTTTCTGTGGTCAGGATTTTCTTGAGAGTCTTTTCAGTTTTCTGGAGCTTTGGGCAGACACTGTCTTAAGCTCACACCAAGGCTGTTACTTCTTGTTGTGTTATATGGCCTGAAGACTCACTCCTCCAGTCTTCCCAGCAGCCCAGTGTGCTAGCTCCCTGCTGTAGTGAAGACATCTTCCTGGAATCCTGCTGCATTTATAGGTTCTTGGACCTAGACTAAAATTTCCATAAAATTCTCTAGAATGACCTCTGCCATGAGGGTCCAGGCTCTACCAGAAGTTGCCTTGCTGTCCTACTTCAGCTGATGTATTTCACACTGAAGGAGGCAGTTAAGTATAATGTTATCCACGTGCTAGAAGACTTTGCACACTGAATAGTCACTAAAAAGCCTTTTCAGAATATTTTCCTTACATACAATCCTTACCTGAATGATAAATTAAAAATAACGAAACAGAGGCTAAGAACAGTACCTTTTTTCTTTTGCAGTCTCAAATACGAAGCCTGAGTTATCAACATTTTCAGATATGCAAGTCAGTGCAGTCTTATGGTAGCACAATAGCAGGACTTTATTCAGTCAGTTACTGTTCAAAGACTGTTCTTTCAGTCTGAATTCTGTATTCAAAATGAGCTGTAATCACAGGTACATTGCTCGATATTGCTGTGCAAGGGTTTGAAGGATTGATTGAGCCTTGCTTTTAGACCTGAAACATTGAATGAGGAGGTGTCCCTGATAATAGCCTTTGGGAGGGTCAGACTAAAGCACTTTAACTTCTTTCTATGCCCCCTTCTGTGCATAATGCATAAACAGTTACTTGTAATGATTTTTGGACCACTTGTCATGAGAAAATTAAATGCGATTTGTAACGAGAAACAGAACAAGTAAATGCTATCCAGATTTTTTTGCCTAGAGCTTTATCTTTTGTTTCTTCTGTTTTCAGTTGCATATTCTTTATATCACGTAATTTTCCAGCCCATCTTACTCTGCAGATCTTTTTGAAAGGGTCATATGTTTTTCTTCTTTATAGGTACTTCAAGAAGATAAAAACATGAAGATATTTGACATCTTTTCAGATCTCTGTAGGAATGGGCATTGAAATAAAAATGATTAAAGTAACCCAGTTTTTTAATTGAGTTTGTTCTTTTTCTTCCCAACTTACTGAGTTTTCAATCAACAGTAAACAAAACAGTTGAACATTATTTTCTTGCATAATCAGTAAGAGATGGATGTTTGCCCAGAGAAAACTGGACTGGAGTAAGACATCACAGCCCTTTTAGTGCTGGTAATTAATCGTCTTTCTGAGAGCAGTTGCCTCTGTTGGCAAGAAGGTTTGTCGGAGCACTGCCTGTTCTGCTTAAGAATAATCATCTATGTTTTCTTAAGCAATTTGTGTGTTGAGTTAGTGTGGACCAGAGTGTACTTGGAAGTATCCACATGAGCTGTGCACCTGGCAGGGGTGCTGCAGGAGGTGTTTTTGACCAGCAATAATAGAGGCAACCTAGAATAGTAACATTTCATCCAACAGTGCAATTCATCAGCCCCTTGGATTCCAAGCTTGCACCAATACATACACCCTCTCTATATGTACCAGCCAAGAGGAAACCATATGGAGAACAGTGGGAGTCCAAGTGCTTCCATAGTCACAGGATGAGAGACCTTTGCAGGCTTGCTTCAAGGCACGGGGTTTTAGGACAGAGGTAGTTTGGGGACTGGGCTTACTTTTGTCTCTGCAGCTGAGGTTTTGTGTAAGTGAACATTCTGCGCTAGCAGCCACTGGGTCTTGCTGAGTGCAACCGCTTTAAAAGAGGGATTGTCTTCATGGAAGTTACTATTCAACATCTCAGCAGGAAAGCTTGGAAATTTTTGAGAAATTGAACATCAGAAGGGCTGAAGGTGAATGGCGTGAATAAGTTTTACAGTTCTAGCAAAACTTAGGAGAGAGCTAGAGCTCTTCATAAACCCACAATGTCAGAACTGTCTGTTTCATAGTGAAGGATTCTTGAAGACCCTGAGCAAGCAAATGTGACCTTAAAATTGGCCCTCTTTTGAGCAGGAGGCTCTGTTTAGAGCAGGAGGCCTTGACCAGATGACCATCAGTCCCTTTCCAGCCTAAATTGCTCTGTGCCTTCTGATTCTTGCTCTCTTTAGATGCTAGGTCAGACATTGTGCAGACATAGGTTTGTCCTCATCGATGTGTTCTAATGCTTGTTTGTGTAATTGCAGTGGTGAACACTGTAACAGTATTATAAAAATCTAAATACAGATGTATATGTGTAATTGGGAAAATCATCTAAGACTTCAGTTGTAATTCTCAATGGCATATAAAACTAAGCAAATTACTATTCCTTTTTGTCATGAGTACTGGTATTCCTTTTGAGACAATACCAGCAAATAAGAAAGTTCTTTGGGGTGGACAGGGCATGTTGCATTACCAAGTTATATCACACTCCCTCAGTCCCATTACCCCTGCCAAGAATTTGTTCTAGTCTCAGTTCTCTCCATTATAAACCTTATGCAAAAAGGTCTAACCAATAGCTTTCCAGCAGAAGAACCTAGATTCATCATGGTTATTGCAGAGGAGAGGTTTGTGGCCTGCGATTCAGAAAGGAAAAGTTGTTTTAATGTCCTTGTATTTCATCTTGACTTCCCTTGGACTAGATTCAGTAATCTACCTTTTGAGCCTACAAATAGTTCAGAGTCTGAAATTAATGGTATCACAGTATTATTAGCTGGGGGACATGGGTGCTGGAGAGCAGCAACCTTGATTCCCTGAGATATTATTTTACCTAAGAAATAAAATTGTCTTGGAAAATGTCTGCCCTCTGACTACCTCTCCAAGAATGTTAAATTCAGTGTTAAAGGTTTTTGTTGCAGAATTAATTTGCACTTTATTCAAAGGAGTTTCTGGGCCAGATTTGTAGGTATGTGGTGCAGCTCTGTTGAAAATTATATATTAGGATTGGCAGGCTCATAACTTCTGGAGAAAAATCTGTGACTAGGTTTTAGTTACTAAACAGAAATGCTTTAGTGCACACTTCCAGGCAGACATGGGGTGTGAGAGCTTCTAGTATTCTCACCTGTAATGTGAGACGTACATGAACAGAGACTTTTCTGCAAAGACTCTAGCTGCATGGATTTTGTTTCTTTCATGCAGAACCTGTGTTTTGAAACTGTTTATCTGTGAGTGGGAGAATATTAGCATCCTTTTAATTATAAGATAAAACAAAAGTGCATACCACTGCCAGGAATCTAAGGGCATATGGACCATGGTGGCTGCCTGCTAATGAAAGGGGAACTGAGCAAATCCAAATTGTGGTATTAACTGTTGCCTTTGTGACTGAGAGATTAGCTCCATTACTAGGGAAAGTTAGAAGCTGGCAGCTGTGCTTCGGTGGCTGAGTGTCTGCTATTACTCTGTTGATGCGGAGTCAGAAAATGATGCTGTGAAATGTTAATTGGCTTTCTAGGAAGTGTGTGAACATTGTGGCTTAGTAAGGTGGTAGAACATTAAAAACGTGTCAGATGGGGAGGTTAGTTGGACAGACAGATCTGTGTTTAGTCATCAAGCCATTACTGTGTTTGAAGTGGGAATTCAGAACTTTCTTAAAACTTACAATAATTAGTGTAAGTTTTAATTAGTGTTATTTTCAGCCTATAGCAAATGATCTTTTTTTGTTTCCAGGAATTCATAGCAACCACTTACATAACAATATAATATGGAATATTTGTAGGAACACTTTCACCATTTTAATCAACAAAAGTAATCCAGAAGTTAGGGTGTATTTCAAAGGCAGCTATTGATGCAAAGAAGTAATAGTACCTTGAATATGTTAAAATTAATTCTGTATGTGTTTCTTCTACTTATTTCCACAGGTGACTGAGCTAGAGTGTGTGAGCAGTCAAGCCAATGCAGTCCACACACATAAAACAGAACTAAACCAGACAATACAGGAATTAGAGTCTACACTGAAGAAAAAAGAAGAGGTATCTGCTGACATTTATTTTGAGCTTTTCTATTGCATAATTTCTAAAACCTTTCAATATTAAGCTTATGATGGCTGCTACATACTGAATTATTTTCTATAAATGTTGCAAAGTAAATTCTTCCTCAGCTTCTTTGAAATTGTTAGTATTTTTCATTTATATAATTACCTCAGTCCAATGTATACCTGGCTATCTGCATAGAAACAAAAAAAGTATCATGTTTTCCTGTTTGCTTTTACCAAACATTTCTGTTTGCAAAATTAAGTAATAAGTGGTTTCTGCATGACAATCACCACACTGATGCAGTCTAGATTCCCTAAGAAAGGGACTGTTGTTGGCATTCGGTCTTTTTTTCTTGAGAATAGGGTTTGAAACAAGTAATAGATCAATGCCTTTGTCCAGCCAGTCTATTTTTCAGGCTCTGTTAATAGAGCTGACCTTTATGGTCCCTAAAATCAGCAATTTCCTTAAACACATGCCAAGCCCCAGCCTGAAACTTGGTATTTATTGTGCCTTGTGCCTTGGCCTGGACCAGCAGCAAGTAAATAAATTGCAGTAACACCTACATTGGCATGGGTCCTAGAGGAAGGCATATCTGTGCCACAGAAGGATCAAGGATCACTCCTTTATGCATGGAAAAAGGCGATGGAAGGAGCTGCATAGGAAAAATTATTTTCCCTGTGTAAGAAACTGTGGGCATTGGCATGTGTGCTTGGAGGGGCAGTGTGTCTAGCCAAGCTTCCCTCAGTGCTGTGAGGTGTTTCCAAGGAGGAAGCAGGAGAGGCACAGTCATTACAGAATATCCTCTCAAAATGGAACAAAGCCTTTTCCAAACTCCATTTTACTTAATAGATTAGGCTCAGCTTGGTAATGTTTCCCATTTTGTTGCCCATTCACTTTTGAATTATGCTGAGCTATTGACTCCAAAAAAATCTTGCCAAAAGGAGTTCTAGGAGGTGAGTATGCCCATCTGGACAAGAGCCCTTAATAGTTTTAAGTTTGATACCTTTTAGTTTTGTTAACTGTTTCTATTCTTTTCTCCTGAAAGTAAGCTAAGAATAGATTTCTCTTCTGTTCATTATTTCATATATATTTCTTATTTTTGTACCTTATTATTTTCTAATTGCTAAATTAAGGATGCCATTTCTTTTAGATTCTCTTTTTACAGAAATCAATCAAAACAGGCAGCTTTTTTTTGATGTTCAGCCTTGCTACTGGTGACATAATAAGAAGTTTACATTTGTAAATTGGATTTTTTTTCTTGACAACATGGAGAAGGGTAGATTCTTATAGAATTTAAAGTTTGGGGTTTTTTTTTAATTACAAGGGACCTTAATTTTTTGGGCAAGAATTATTTCATGTCTCTTTGGGGTGCAAAGAAAACTTGTGCTTTTACAAAAGAAAATGTTTATATCTATTATTCATTCACAATGGAGTGGCTGTTTTGGGAATGTGATTCAGAAACGTTGGGAGCAGGGCTTGCAGTTCATGTTCTCTGATGGGCAGTAGCCCACTGCCAGTTTTGGTATTGTTGCAATGACTTTCTCAGAAGAGGAAGCAGCAGCCAGATTACCAGCACTGAGGCCAAGCCAGGTAACACATTGCTAGCAAGGTTGTTTCTTCTCCCTTAGGAAATAGAAGGATTGAAACAAGAAATTGAAAATGCCAGAGAGCTCCAGGCACAGAGAGATTCTCTGACCCAGAAGTTACAGGTAAGCTATAGTGCATCATCTTTATTTAGAGAAAAGGGAAAAATTATTGGCAAGTGAGCAGTTCACATGTGCAACTTGTGCTATATTCACTGAATGTGCCAGATGAATGTGTAAGTTAGACTGCCCTGAAAGTGCTGGGTTGGGATGACCCTTAGGAATTTGTATCAAAATTTCTACCTGCTGTAGATTGCTATTTTTGTCTGAGGAAACAGATCCACATTGCTTTTACGAGTCCACAAAGTACTCTCAGATTAGCAAACATCCTTCATTGATACATATCCTGGACAGTTCTGGCCTCATTTTCACAGCAATGTCTTCCCATAGTTTTTGCATGCCACTGAAACTATCTGTCTGTGTATCATCAGCCTGGGATGAGTTTGTGTTCAGCTTTTAAACATGCCCTGAGAAAGTAAGGGTTAAAGTGCTCTTAAGTAGTACAGGTTTTAAAAACACTCTTTCTACATTTTCTTGGAATTATTTGGAAACGTGTTTTTTTGGTTTTTAGCTGTTGTTTCTTCCTGTGTGTAATGCCAGATACCTGAGGCTGCTGGAACTGATGTTCTCTCATTATATCCTCTCTTGCTCCATCTGACCTCTTGCCTGTATGTCTCTGTGCTGACCAGCCAGCACATTCCTTGTCACACTTGCCTCTGGAATGACCAAAAGTTTAGGTGGATTACACTCTCGGTTCAACCTTCAGAGTTTTGAAAGAACTGGAAACTCAGGCATTAAATAGCTCCAACCCTAAGGTGCTGAAAGGGGATCCTCTCTGTTCTGTGGCTTAGCATGCTGAAAGCAAGCCCCAACCGATCACAGCCACAACTTAAAAATCACTAGGCAGTATTCTTTGAAACGCATTATATAAACTGGAACCTCTATGAATCGAATTTTAGCCTACACAATAAACCACTAAAGATCAAAATGAGTTTATTCATTTTTCCCCATTCTTATGTCAACTTGTTTGTACAAAGTATGTTATTACTTTGAACAGTGTTTGAAGAGTGTTTTGAGTACACCTGACCTTGCCTGTACCAAAAATTGTTGCTGGCTTTAGGCTAAAAATACAAGTTTTCATCTGAAAAGGCATTTATGCTAGAGACTAAAATGAGACACTATAATGAGAGTTGGAAATTGTTCTAGCAGTAGAAAATGCAGTAATTTCATTGTAAGATCATATGAAAAATAACAGTGAGCCAGGAATTAGCTATCCTTAGCAAGCAGAATTATGAGACTAGTAAGAGATGAAAGATTAGAAAATACACATTTTTATTAAAATTTTATCTTATAAAGTCAGTAGTTCCATTTTGGTATATTTATGTATAAGTGACTAAGAGCAGCCCTGCAGAGAAGGACTTTGGGGTGATGGTAGATGGAAAATTCAACACTAACCAGCAGTGTGTGCTCACAGCCCAGAGAGCCAAACGTGTGCTGGGCTGCATCCAGAGCAGTGTGGGCAGCAGGGCAGGGAGGGGATTCTGCCCCTCTGCTCTGCTGAGACCCCACCTGCAGGGCTGCATCCAGCTCTGGGCTCCCGGCACAGGAAGGACATGGACCTGCTGGAGGGAGTCCAGAGGAGGCCATGAAGCTGATAAGAGGATTGGAGCACCTCCTTTATGAAGATAGGCTGAAAAAGTTGGGGCTGTTCAGCCTGGTGAAGAGAAGGTGAGACCTCATGGAGACCTCATAACAGCCTTACAGCATCTGGAAGTGGCCTACAGGGGAGCCAGAGAGGGAATCTTCATCAAGAGCTGCAGTGATAGGACAAGGAGTAATGTCTTCAAACTGAAAGAATGTAGGTTCAGATTAGATACTAGGATGAAATTCTATATGGTGACAGTGGTGAGGCACTACTCCAAGTAACCCAAAATAAAAGTTATGGGTGCCCCATCCCTGGAAATGTCCAAGGCTAGGTTGGATGGTGCTTTGAGCAACCTTATCTAGTGGAGAGAGTTCCTGCCCACGACAAAGAGTTAAAATCCTTTTTTGGGTTGTTTTAAGGTCCCTTCTAACCTAATCCATTTTATGATTCTGTGATTCTTTAATCACCAAATGGATATATTTTGTATATATGTCCGTATGTCACATTTGAAGTGATCTGTTTCTGGAAATGGTTCTGTTTGCTTCTATTCAAGTAAACTTAAAGGATCATTTAGGATCTGAGTTAAAAGCTGCCTTTATTAAGCATCAACTTAATTACTGCCCTGATCCTGGTGCCAGGAAAAAGATCTTGGGTGTGTGCTTTGCTGTAATTGTCCTGCTTTGATTGTACTGGTATTCTCTGAGCCACTTCACCCTACATCTGTCACATCGTCTGCTATAGCTTCACACTGTCTCATATATGTTTACTTACCTGACTCATTCTTTATGTTTATGAGAGTGATTCTCTCCAGGGCTTATATCTGTTTCTCTCACTCTTTGTTCTTGTGCTTTGTTTTTCCCTCTTGTACTTTGCAAGTGGATTATGTAACTTTGAAATATTTTGCTCAAAACCCTATGAAAAATGCTATACAAAGAAATTAATATTTCAAGGTGTATTGCATTTCTGATACACGTGTATCAGGAGTTAATTAGATATCAATCATTGGGAAACTCTAGTGAAGAACAGTATGTTACCACTGTGAAGGTTAAATATTGGGGTCTTTTTTATTAATTCCATTAGTAATGTAGAGAAGTCATATCAGTGAGTCATGATCAGTGTGACTCTCACAGTAGGTCAGAATATCTTCATTAATATGGCTGATTCCTAAATATAGCTGTTGTGTGTGGTTTGAATATTTTTATTCCAATCCTTGCACTGAATTCTGTGAGATACTGTTATAGTGCAAACAACAAACATAACTACTAATGATTTATTTAGTCTCTAAGAGAAAACAATACGAGAAATTATTATATCTGATGAAAGAAGAGCTTGAAAAAATCAAAGGTGAAAAAACCAAAGGTAAAAAAACAAAGTGCAAAATACATTCTGCAAAGCATCTGAATGTATCAAAGAGTCAATTTATTGTTGGATGAGATCAGCTGCCAGTAAAGGAAAATGGTATGGCTAGGAGAATAGATTACGTTACATGTAATCCACCTCTTCCAATCAAGAAGCAAGTTTTGAGGCTGACTGATTTGAAATAGGAAATTGCACATGAGCTAGACATGAACTTACAATGCAACAACATTGCAGAAAGCATTAATACTAATTTAGGGTAAATATGCTTAAGGGTCAAATGTAAGTTTAAGAAGCAGCATTTTCCAGAAATTAAAAGCAACAGCTTCTGGCATATTTCATTCAAAGTGTCTGAGAAGGGCTTGAAAGGTGTTCTTCAGTGTTAGATACAGGCCAACAGAATTCTCTATTCAGGGCCAGATATCACAATGTAAAACCATGTAAGTATCTATAGATTTGTCCCAAAATCATCAGTGGCTTGCCTGCTTACAGGAATTAATTATCTCTGATGTAAGAGCAGTGTCAAGGAGACTTCTTAGAGCACACAAGGCTAGAAGAGAAGTAATGACAGGATGGGCAAATGCTGAAAAACAGCAGAGAGGACCTTGAATGTCACTTTTACGTCCTGTACTGTAATCACTTGGCCCTTAGAGGGTCTTGAACCTGTGCAGTCACTATACCAGGTAGTACTTTTAAGTACTTGGCTTGGAAGGAAGGACTAGACCCAATGAAGGAAAACCCTTGCATGAAGTGACTGGGTTATAACCATTTGTCTTCTTCATTTGTAGCAGCAGTGGGGTAGCTATTCACTACTACTACTACTATAAGCATGTATGCATTTTATTTATATGATTTCTACAAGTGCTCTATCCAGTTAGCTTCTTTTAGTGCTTTGACAACTAAATTATTCAGTGCTAAACAGATTAATTGTTCTCTTGATCCTACCAATAAGGAGCTCTCCTTCTCTCAATTCCTGCTCTCAGATGTGCTGGCTGTTCAAGCCTGGTGCCCAAAACTAGAGTTTTTTACTTGTCCATTTGCAAACAAGAAGTAAGGGAGACCTTCAGTTTGGCTGGGAGGTAACCCTTTGCTCCACAAGCAGCCACAGCTATGAGGCAGTGAAGGTCCTGATGTTCTGTCTTCTCCCCCTGCACCACTGTTGGGGTGACCAGAACTCCCCCCTGCTGCAGAGGTGGGGAGCTGAAACTGAGCACTGGCCATGTCACCCCATCCCTCCTCTGGCCAGGGATACAGCACCCAATCGATGCTGCCATCAGACTCCTCACAAGTGGATACCTTTCTCAGGTCATGGACTTTGACACAGGGCTGCCATTACATACCTGTAACTCTTGAATTGACCCAGTATATTTTCTGTATAGGTCAGGTTGTTTTCTGTAGTTAGCTGAGATCTTGGCAATGTAAACATTAATATATTTCTTAGCCTTGACGGAGACAGAAGAATCACACCAAAACCAGTGAGAGAGTTGGAGGGCTGAAAGAGGAGTTGCTCATGTTGCGATCATTGGCTGCTGCCAAATATCCCTTCCTATTTGTAAGACTAGTTGTAGTGAAATCTCAGAGCAGGCCTGTTGAAGCTGTGTGACACAAAGCCACTCTAAAGGGAGGAGGTGTTGAAAAACATGTTACCATACATAAATATGAACTCACTGTGCACTTTTCCAGAGATGGTTGTACAGGGTGCATGGTGTACTAAATACACTGTCTCTGTGCTGCCTTTGAAAGTGGTTTTTGAAATCACAAAATTTGGCATGAATTTATGAGGTGTGCAATGAATGGAACAAAGAACACTATGCTATTCCAGACCCAGGTGACTGTTTCATTTGGGATTTTATTGAAGAGAGGGCACCTGGCCTGCACAGGGCAGAGGAGTTGGCACCGTCCCCCATCAGGTGCAAGCTGGAGCTATGAGGAGTCCCAGGTGCTGATGCCAAGGGCTTCTCCTAGTAAGTGAGAGCTGAGCTTGCTCAGGGTCAGACCCCCTGGGCTGTGTCCAACACAGGTGGTGCTGTGCAACGAGGCACCATGTGCAGCTTGCACCTCCTGCTTTACATCTGTTACAGTCACCTTGACATCTGCTTGGGCAGTTATGTTCCTGTCTTAATTGTAATCAAAGCCCGTAATGTGGGATGGGAATAAGGTGGTGATTCTCTGTCTCTAAAGCAGCTTTCTGGATGGGTTTTTGCACGAGAACTCCTGATGGAGAAACATGCCCTTGAGCAATTCACGTAGTTTAAATCAGGGCATACTTGAACATGACTCTGAGATGTTTTCATTAGGCAGTACATTTCTGAATGATAGAAGTGATAACATACATAAGTGTATCTTTTGTTCACTGACTAAAATTTGTCCCTCTCCAAAAGTTTCCGTCCTTCAGATAATTATGGAAAAATGGAGGATATGGCAGTACATATGCAATCATAGTAATAATTCAGGTTCTGGTTTTGACTTGGTGAACTATAAAGGGTTACAAATTATTTTAAAAAGCACTTGATAAAAATAGCACATGAGTACCAACAGGAACGTTAGACTGCTTTCTGTTTGCAGACAATACAATAACATGTTATGTATTTTCTCTGAAGGAAGTAGAAATTCGAAACAAAGACCTGGAAGGACAGCTGTCCGATCTAGAGCAACGTCTGGAGAAAAGTCAGAATGAGCAAGAAGCTTTTCGCAATAACTTGAAGACACTTTTAGAAATCCTTGATGGAAAAATATTTGAACTAACAGAATTACGAGATAACTTGGCCAAGCTAATAGAATGCAGTTAAAGAAAATGGGATTTCAGTGCCAATCAGCTTAAAGATGCAGCACTGTCTCTCTTCATAGGACTGTGTTGGGCTCTGCATCAAAGTTGCACAAAATTAGAAAATACTCCTCTGAGAGGGATTGTTTTAAATTTGACTTGTAATTCAATGTAAAATTTAGAACTCAGCTTGTAGCCAGTTGAAGAAAAACAAACAAACAAAAAAACTTGAATTACAAATTACCTCCTTTTACATTATTGGCCACAGATAACTTGAAAGATAATTACAATAATTGAATGCAGTCCTTTTCTAATTATCAATGATGGAAGAATTAGCAGTGTCCCAGGATACACCCCATTTTGTGACAGATACAATATAGGTTATTGGCTGTTTTATTTAAGATATTTAAATGCTATGTTTTGTGCAAGAACTTACTGATGACAGCCCTGTATTTTGTTGTTCTTAATAATTTCTCAGGATAAGTCGCACTGTGGAGAAACAGTGCCCAGACAAATTTATTCTTGCCAGGAATGAGAGAGAGTTGCATCTTTAATTGAAACAAATCTATAACTGCTTGTATAAACTTCTTCCTTTTTGTTTTTTGGGGTTGGTTAGCTGGTTGGTTTTTTGATTTTTTTAATAGGTATACATATATACTGGAAGATACCATATTTCTTTATGGAGCTTACTTTGGTGTTCTACAATATTGTCCAATATAAGGTTTAGTTTTTCATATTAATTCCATGCAATTACAATGAGATAGTATCTTCCACTTAACTAAGTTTTGAAGCCAACCAATGATAGAAGGTGAGTTCCACTGGGAAAAAAAAAAGCCCAACCCCCCCCAAGAATTTTAAATGTAAATTTAAAATTTTAGATTTGACCTTCACAGATAACAATGAATGGCCAGTTGTTTGTTTTCTGGCCTTGATACTTATATTGAATGTTCAATTTGCTGTTAACCTGTTCTGCAGGAGACTTTTTCAGAATGTGACATGAAATAGAGATTCTGTGAATACTGGCTTATGGTAAGCATTGTTGTGTTACAGATTCATTAAGGGCACAGAGGTACCACAAGGCATTGCTTGTGGCACTGAACGTGTCTAGCCAAAAAGGCTGTTTCTTGAAGTTTTGTTGTCATAGCAAATTGAACTGAAGACATGTTTACTCTTTTATGGGTCTTCATATCACATCTTTATCAAAACTACACCAGGCAATATTCTGAACTGTTAACTAAGTATTTAAAAACAGGACATTGAATTGAATTATTCTCAGTGAGCAGGTTTTAAAGTTGTTTTGATGTAATTTTAACAGACTTTTGGCAAACACACATTTCTTTATATAATAGATTTATTTTAAAGAACCCAACTCTTTGAAAGGTAAGCCAATTGTAATGTGTCTTGCATCACAGTGCATTCTTGCCATAAATTGCTTGTAATGCTGAAGAGGGCTTTTTTAAAATGTATGAATGAGTGTCAGACCTCAGAGTTGAAAGATGCACGAACCTTTGTTTGCTCCCCAAATTAATTTGAATGTTAAACATGAAATCTAGCTGCTTATTAAATTTGTAGAACACAGTTTTCTTCACTTAGAGACTGATATTCAAAACTAGAAAAGATAAGTTTGTTTTCATGTATGTACTGTGTGTATATACCATATAATACACACGGGTTGTTATTTATATTGGAAAGACATGCTTTATTTCTAAAATACCTTTTTCCTTTTCCCTTAACTGGTGATTCATCAGGTCTCCCCTGACTAGTCAGGGAAGTGGCTTAGGTTAAATGCTAAAACTGTCATGTATTATATGGTATGTAATATACACAATGTTTACGCTTTCTCCATATTTTTTAGGGTATTTTCTCACATTTATTAAAGGGGTGGGGGGAGCTTGTTTCATTGTGCTACTGGTTGAAAAATTTGTGGTGAGCTACATGTTAATCATTCAGGGGATTTTAGACAGTGATGTGTATATCTTCATCAGGTCCATATGAGCAGATACAGCCAGTTTTTAATTTTCCTGGGGATATTTGGGCCTGATTCTCCTGTCACTTGTGCTGCTGTAAACCAGATGTGTCCTTGATGTGATGTCACCAACATTCCGTTGGCCTAACATCCGTGGAAGTGCAAGGAGAATTTGGCCTGTTAATGCTCAGTGGACATAATAAGGATGAAGAAAGAATAAAAAAAACTTAATGATGGAATAAATGTAATATTATTTTTAATGATATTATTATTGACATTTTTAAAGATATGATGTCATATGTGTGGGGAAAATAGTGGACAGAAATATTTCCACTTAAATTTTGTGAATATGTGTGGTACATGAGCATTTCTATGTATAAGTACACACACATATGTATATACAGAACATGGAAAAATTTAGATGTGCACATTTTTAATATTTTCCTATTGAAATTAAATTTAAAATTGGAAATTGATATTTGAGAATTTCTTTTTCTCATAGAACAGATAAGCTTCATTTCTTTTTTTTTAAAGAATACAATTACTGAGGGCTGCACCTTTGAATTCCCAAATAGTTGCCAAACATAAATATGGGATGAGGTGGACATACGTGCACATATAAATAAAATCCTATGTCTAAGATTATTTTTAATGCTTATGTACAGTAGGCAAGTGTTTAGAAATTGTGATCTAAAGTTCATACTTAGGTGGCTATACCTACGGTAGCCTCTTCACTTCTGTTTTAAAGTAAAGGTTTTCCCATTTGAAATGTTACTGTCCCAGAGACAAGTACTGTACATTGTATCTATCTTTAATGAAACTATGGGAATATGCAGTATAAGTGTTCAGTACAATAGCCTGAAAACATGACCGTGAACTTGCACTGAAGGGGAGAGCAGTCACTTTGTGTATAATTTGTTACATGGCAACTACAGTCTTGGAAAAAAAAAAGCCAAGAAAAGAATTACCATAAACCTCACAGAAATACAGAAAAAAAAAAAAAAAAAAAAAAAAAAAAAAAGAGAAAAAATAAATCAAACCCACAGTTTTTAAATTTTGAAATACACTTGCTATTCTCTGGAGAATGTATTACTCTTTTTTTTTCCCCCTTAAATCTTTTTCAAGTATGTGCAAGTGATAGCAGCAGCTACCTTAATCTTTCAGGTGCTACTGGATTTTGCATTAATGTGTTATGTTGTGAAATCCTGACTTTGACATAAAAGATTTTTGTAAGTATATCCCCGTCTAGATAGCTAGTTTTTGGAGTGTGTTGTTAATAATCCGTATGCCTCAATGATCCAGAAATTGCATTTTTCGATGTAGACAAAGTAAAACATGTGAATTAAACTGTCCATTATAGACTGGAAATTCCTTTTCCTGGGCAATATATCCAGGAAAGAGGAGAACAAAATGAACTGATAATGCATAAATGTGGTTATAAGATCTCTAAGAAAATAATTTTCAGGTAAAAAATAAATAAAGAAATAAATAAATAAAGGGCTAAACCAGTTGTTACACAAATAAGTATCATTTAATGCTATCGGCGGCATTCCCAGGATAATTGCTTTAAAGAAAAACTTAGAATTAACAGTGCATCAATTAAAGATTAGTATTTTGCAATATGTCTTTTTAGTTGTCAGTTGTGAAAGGCTTCTGATTTCTGCTCATTTTTCTACCAGTTGGGGATTAACTTCAGGTTTGCCTTCGATAAGAGGCTAAATTTCATTTCATTCTATCATTTTATATATTCTGTACTGAAGTGGCTGCTGAACAGCACTCTCTGAACACTGCATTCAAATGTCAAAATCAAAGCCATTTTTTGGAATACTGCATGGAGAGAGGAATGGAAAACTGTTGCAGATCTTAATTCTCTGCAGAGCTGCAGATATCAGTAAAAGCGCTTAACTTGGTTAATTGCAAAAATCTTAAGGCCAAAGATAGATCTAATGAGAGATTAGATCTGGATGTCAGAACACAATTTAAAAACACCATCAAGAAACTCCATCCCAATGTGCATAGTTCAGTCTCGGTAACTGAGCACGCCAGTTTAAGTGCACGCCTATACATTGGGGTTTCTTTTTCAGAAAATGGACCTGACTCTGCTAAGCAATGTTCAAATTGTCTTGTTTACATTTTCTTAGTAATGCTGCATTTGTGCACTACCTCTGAACAGTGCTAAGCAGAGACCATATCACAGAATAACACATATTATTTGAAATCTCTGGTTTTGCTTAGCAGCCTTAGTTCCTCGTTTTACTCCACTTAATTCAGACAAGATGGATGAATTTTCCCCGTTTTGTTAAACATTTTGGAACAATGAGTGGAGTTTTGTGTTAGATCCCAGAGTCAGTTCAGCTCATGTCCACTCTTCTGGCCATGCCTAGCCAGAAAGCAGGTGTGAGTCTAAATGTCATAGTACCTGTAGATGCTATAGACAAAAGTGGGTTTTCACACCATAAGGGGTCTCGTAGCTTGCCCGCTACAACCTCTCAGGGACCTGTAGTGGCCAGTTCTGCTTCTGCACTGCTGGCAGCTCATCATAGGACCAAAGAAACACAATATACCTACTTTCCCCCTCATTGTTGGGTCTTGCATAAGCAGAGCTTAGATGCAACAATATATCTGGCAATTCTTAGTATTTTCAGATAAAGGCATTGGAAGGAAAGTAATTATCAAAGGTGTTTTAAATTCGGGGTGGGTGGGGGAAACACAGATTTCAAAAAGATTCCCTAGTGTGGAACCCTTGTGTAGCTATAAAATCGGCGAGAATGATTTGCATAGGGAATGACAAACCACCTGAAAGGATCTCACTTTCCTTAGGTGCTCACATCATTCTGACATTGAGCATACCTGGCTTACCCCAAAACTCCACTCTTGATTGCTAGAGGCTTCCCAAGGTCAGCACTTGTGTTTCATGAGCACAGCTGAAGTCCTGAGGGTCTGCAAAGCCCATGTCCTTTCAGTCTTTTACCTTCACAACTCTAGAGGTTTAATACCAGTATTAGCCATCCATGCTCTGTTTTCTGCTGCCATCAGTTGCTATCACCTGTGATGTTTGCGTAATAGAATTCTGAGCTGGGTTTGGCGTTTTTTCTTTCTTTTAACTTGGAAGTAGTTTCCAACTTTTGGAATCCCTGCTTTGAGGATTCTCATCT